GAATTGGAACAATTCGTTGCATGAATTTTTAGTAAAAGAAAATTTTGTTCAATCAATTGCAAATCAATGATGCGCAGATTGTGGCCAGCAAGCCGGAAAAGCTCGCCTTCGTAGAAAAGAGGCCCGAGCACGAAGGCAGTTTAGCCTAGTCCTCAGCTATGTGGAGGCCGGGAATTACGATTTAAAGAAGGGCGTATGGTATGTTATATTAACTGAATTTCTCATAGTACTGGGTACAGGAAGACCAGTCGAGAAGGCTATACCAACTCGGAAAGGTACTACATCTCTGCATAACCCCTCGGTCCCAATACCCTTTCTATGATATAAATACAATTCTTTTCTTCATCGATAATTGACATGTATAAATAGAGAGTAAATTTTCAAATTTGTATGATACTTATAACGAAAACAAAATGATTGTACCTTTTTTTGAATGTAACAATTCCATTCCAATTTTTCAAAGTTGCCGTGAATTTGATGTAATTAAAGACATAGCAAATAAAATAGGAAAAGAAAATGTAGAAGTACCATTCGTTAATGAAAAGGATAAAGAGATATATATTAATGAGAATTTTGGATGTGGAGGAGTGACAAAATAAACTAAAAAAGAACAATAATATTTATCGATAACTGTTGCCTGCATTTAGTAAGATAATTACATGGTGACAATTTCTTTGATATATTAACGTATCTTGTTCTGCTGCTTTTGGATGAATGGTACTGTTGTATTATTAATTGTCAAGGAAAATAGAAGAAATAATTGTACAATGCTTGGATAGCCATTATGTTTAGATGTGGAAAACGATGATATTTCACAGGGCATTCTGATTTAGCATAGAGCAGGACCTTAGATATAAACTTTAAAGCTATGTAACGGCAGGTAAGATATAGAACATATAATGCTATTGCAAATATCAAGACATCGACTCAAAGCAACTTTGTTCTATTTTTTATGAACCAGAAGCAAAGATAAGTACGTGCACCTTGTCACCGTCCACCTTGCAATAAGTGAAGAATTGTGTAGCCTTGTTCCTTTTTTCAATGTTAGGAATTATTTGTTGGTCAACCTTGTGAAAATAAAGCAATGTCTTGTCAAAATTATTCGAGTTCTTCTAATGGCTAGTATAAATCATTTACAAAAGAAGACGAAATTGTCAAAGTCTACTTTCGGTTTGTTTCCCTGGAGGCTTGGACATTTGTTATGTCCTAAATCTTAGAATTCTTTGCTCACTTCATGTAGAAACCATACTATAAAGAATTCCTTATTTTGTCTAATGTACAGATTGTTTTACTGAAGAACATTGTTTCAGGTGCCATGTTACGGGAATCGAAAGTCTTTAAACGCTAAATAACCTCCAGAAGCTGAAAGAACAAAGATGAGTTCAATTAATGGTGGAATATACTCCCACCTAAAAAAATTTAAACTACTAATTCACACACGCCAATGTCTTCACAGCTCAAAGGTTGTTTCATGAACATCATTTTAAATTTAATTTGAAATTCTTTGTTTGCTGCTGATATGGAGGGGGCACGGTATAGTAAGGAAACGTTTACATAACAATAAATAACCTCCTAACAATATATGTGGCCTCCAGGCAGTGTCTCCCCCTCCAATATGCTTGGATATGTGTCTGTCGGAAAATTTTCGATGGTTGTCGGAAATTTAAAAAGCCATATTTGATGCAAGCCCCTCAAAATTACTGATTTTAATGTCATGCATATGAAGATTACGGAAATCAGAGAAGCTTTTTTGCTGGACTGTTACACATTTCGGAAGACACGCATTTCTCAGTATATTATTACGTTAATGTTCTTAACTTTCAACGCTGCACGTCTTTCATTAATTACATCCAGTAGTACGAATAGAACATACTCACAAATGGTGTACGTGTTGTTTTTTGTATAGTGTGATTGAGGTTCAGAAGTATATTAATTAATATTTATTGACTTACAAAACTGACGTTTGGCTTACATGTATTATATTTTCGTTTATTTTCGTAAATTTGCATATTCCTACAGAAGTAAGTTGAAAAGACTAAGATAAAGATAGAACAATCCTTAACAGACCATGTAGTTGTCGTTGATCTCTGCACATACAGCTTGAACTTTGAGTATTAACATTTGATAAAGGCAATACAGTTATCTGCGTCAGAGGAATTAAGTTTATATAGATCAATATCACTTTACAAATAAATACATTTATTCTTTGATGCAATCTTTGCTATAAAGACATTTGCTACATAATATCCTTCTATAAGCTTATGCATAGTCATTCCAAAATGATGTTTCATAAACAAAATAAAAGTTAGCCATAATCAAACACGAATGTTTTACTTTTTCACGTCCTTAAATTAGTGGTAAATTTCGACATGTACGTATATTTTTCAATAAAAGGCAATTAGCAAAATTCAAAACATTCCCAATTTTCAGATGAAACGAAAAGATTGTTTACATAAGCGCACTGATGCTTATAAAAACGGTAGTGAGGACAAGAGACAATTGGAAAGTAAGAGACGACAGAGAAAACATATCAAGAAGGTATTGCATATGACATCAAATGTACAAAGGTAATATTATTTGCACAAATATTTTTTCACTGCCCAATATTGTGCTAGTATGTATAAATTTGCCGATTTATTTTGCAAAAATTTTAATGGATGGTTTACCACATAAATTGTAAAATATTTTTCGCATATTTCTTAGAAACCACTATCAAACACGTCGTTAAGGAAAAAAATAATGCATTGAATTATGCTATTTATGATATTTTGTAATAGAGCTAAGAAGCAGGTGGCCATGTGCAAGTCTTTTTAACTCTTTAGGTAGCAAATCTTTTCAAAAATTGAAAGCCATTTTGTCTTGTGATTGATGCATGGATGTGATACACTTTCAGATTTAAAGATTTATATCCAACAAATTTTGCTGGCAGCTGCATCAGCTTTCATTTGCAAACTTCGCAGGTGTTTTTCAACATGTATCTATGTCGCACGCATTGTGTATTTTTGTAGTCAGGCTATGTCAGAATTATCAATAGAAATATACTTTCTTCTTCAATAACTTGGCGTTAAATGTTCTTTAGAAACTTCTTACCAATAGCATTGTTAAAAACGAATTTCAATTTGAATTAAGATCCTCTAACGAATGACGTCCAGGTTTGATACTTGCAAGGGAATAATGGCTACATATACTTGTAAGATTTAGGTGTTTCGAATTGAATTTTTAACGTTCTTCATGACATTTTCAAAATAAGGTTTCAATGAAATTTTAGATCATTTTTAGCTGAATAACAGATTTTTGAAAAACTTATCATTTTTCTGATTTTAACAGGAGATTTTTTTCGGGAATTGAAACTACCTCTAATTTCCTCATTGACAAAAATGAATTAAAATATTTGGAAATATTACTTTCATTTGTTTATTTTGAACTGTTTTAATGCCTTGCATCTCCGTTGCAATTGAAAAATTTAAGACCAGTCACTTTATTTATTTTATTAATTTTAATTTAATATATTTATTAGTAAAAACTATTTCGTCTTCATTTGTGACAGTGACGCCGGAACAACGATGATAGAATGGATGTAGCTTCTATATGTGGCAAAAGTGAAGCCTAGCTACATATGCACAATTTACTTTCGGATACCACAATCGATACAAATTACCGTAGAAATTTATTGCGGATAACGTTTAAAAACAGCGATTTTCAAATATTACATACGAACAGTGGCTGTGAAATGTGTTGTAAAAGTAAAACTGACTTAGGTATCTCTATTTTAAGTATTCAAAACTCACAATACGACGACGATCTCGTTCTGATAACACTGTTTATGTTTTATTATACTTTCAAAACCAGACACATATGCCAGTGTTATCCATTTTAAAGGTAAAGCTACAAGCAGCGGGCAATCCTAATTACCCACTAAAACCTCACAAGTAAAGTGCACACAAAGTCATCCTTATCAAAATGCTTAAAGCAAGCTTCGAAAGACGACGAAGGCTTCAAATTTTTTTGCCTTTTTTTTTTTACAAAATCAACCCAAGCCTTTTACGCTTCTTAGCTTCTGGTCTGTGTTATTTGCACATGGGCTTCTACGGAGAGCAAACTCTTTCTTCGAGTTTAATGGGTTTGAGCATGTAAATGCGACACATTTGTGTGGAATCTTATCAGAAAATTTTTTACGCAAACGTTTAAAAAATTTATATCTTTTTGCGTTGAAATAATACAAAAATGCTGTGTTGAATGAAAAATGCCGAAATCCAGTTCATCATCCCGTCTTCTGAATCATCCGGTCAGGCCTTCTCATGTAGAATAGCCATTGATATAAACAGGCTTTAAAAATTGAATTTGAGAGCAAGAATAAAAAAATTTTTATAATTTTACATTGTACCATCATAATACGCGCTCACACGATGGCCGGTATTAAGTATTAACAAAGACATGCTGGCATGCATTCACACATTCTCATTTCATTAATGTGTTTATGAAATTTGATGAGCATTTTTTTATTTGTATGTAAGTGTTATTTTTGTAAACCACCTTTAACAAAAGTTACTCTCGCGCTATTCTATTATTTATACCTCACTTTGATGTAATTTTACATTCTAGTGTATAGAAATTTTTAAAACGTTTTCCTGACATAACAGTAATTTCATTTCGATAAGCAGTAATTGTATAAAACGAAGAATTTATACTCACTCTTCCTTCCGATAAACATTCCTATGAAATATTTTTTTTTGATTCTCTTCATCGACTTCTTATGTCTACCTGATGTTATCTTTGTGAATGGCAATGTTCAACATTATGCTCGCCATGTATCGCTGCAATTAAACTTCATTATGTGAAACATCAGTACTTCAAAGATTGATGAATGTCTAGAACAATGTTTATAATTTTGTTCATGTTTATCATTTTAAGTTTGTGGTAAGGCGTATCAACTTTTTTCCTCTTCTCTCAGTGACGAGGCAAATAACAATGAGAAAAGTAAATGTCAGCATTTCACAATAAAAATATTGAATAAAAAGGTAAAAGTATTACATGTTTGTAAATGTAGATCGTCCAGGTTGGTATAGTCCCGAGAAGGAGTGTTTTTGTTGTTGTTGACTAACGTTTCGACAACCTTAGCGGTAGTCATCTTCAGAGTCAAAAAATATTTACTTTAAAAATATTACATTAAAATAAAAAAGTTCGCGTGTGAGCGTTATTGCTGAATGATAAAATAGGTTGATAAAGAAATCTTGTTATGTTGTTTTTATTTGCTAGAAGGATATAAAGACTAGCATCAAAATCAATTGCTTGCAACCTAGTTTGGAAAAACAACTGTGAGCAATGCAATCGCTGAAGCAACTTATTTAAATTGCTGTGAGAATATTATAGCTCAATTTTCACTTAAAAACTTTATAATGGATTGCAAAAGCTTTGAAATTATAAGGAATTTCCTACACTATCTCTCAAATTATGACATGAGCTAATTCTTTCTTTTTTTGTTAAAAAATAAGTTTAGCATTGTTGTCATGGAACTGCGTGTTGCTAAGTACATACATCAACAATTGTAGACAATAAAATATTAAGGTTGAGGTATTGCTGCTTCTTTTCTATCATCATTAGCAAAAGCAAAGTGAGTCATTAGCGGATCCAGCGTACCTCAAAATAATTATAGCTGCTCACATTTGAATTCAAATTACTTTCAAAAAAAGGCTATCTATAAGTTTTCAATTTCAAAGAATATAAATTAACCAATAAACTAGTTTATTAGTTGCTTAAGAATGTAAATACAGTCTAAATTGCCCTGTAATACCAATTTTTAGGTACTCTATATATCCACCACTCAATGTGATTGTATAGATAAGTCCTGAAAGTTGTTAAAATTATATTTCTTTCTTTATATTTGTAAATATACACGTTAAAATGGTAACTGCAGTTATTCACATCTCATTGCCACGTTAAGGTACATAAAATTACTAACAATGGTAACGTATATCTGCAAAATTATCACATGTATATGTTTTCTCTCTTTCTAGGGTAATTGAAGCTACCCCCAAGAATTATGTCATATGAAAATACATTTTTGTTTTACATCAAATTAATGCAATAACAACGGAATATATCTTCAATCAACCTCACATACTACTAAAGTGCGATTCTTGTGTGATTGGAACGAAGGCTATGTAGGTAAACGTTGTGAAACAAAAGCAAAGTCTTGTCGAAGTGTTTCTGGTTTTTCTAATGGTTCGTATCAATTTTTTTCAAATGTAAATAAAATGGTTAATGTTTACTGTCAGTTTGATTCTGTAATTGTTTGGAAATTAGTTATGTCCAAACACGGTACGATATGGTTTAGTTGCAACATATATAGTTGATCTCATTGCAATGCCCTGAAATAATAACTGTGTACACAGTAACTTATCAAGAATTAACTTGAAAATTTGTTGCCTTTTAAAGTCCAGCGAACAATAAAACAGAGAAAGAACTCTGAAAATAAATAATTCATACATTTATATATATTTGTACATTTAGGGAGGAAGAACGATGTTGTTTTTGATGCTCAGGGCATAATATAAACGATCGTGTCATTATATCGTTATTAATGTCTTCTACTGCCATTAAGTTGTATCGACACTTATCAAAAGATAACTTTTCGATCTCTCTTAAATGCAACAACTCCATTAGAAATTAACATGTTATGTATCCAGGTTATTGAAGATGGATGGTCAAATTATTAAGTGACTTAGTTTCAGTGGAAATACTGAAGATTATACAGCGTGGAGTACAAAATTTAGGGCTTTGGTGCAAACGAAAAGGCTAATAAAATCGTTATTTGGCAAAGAAATCATACCAGAAGAAATTCTCCTTTAAGTTCCGAATCATCAGCTGTACTGTTCACCAAATGGTATGATAAACTAAAAGGATGAAAAAAGAAATTGAAGCCATTGAATAGCGAAATAACAGCATTCGGTGTCATATCACATTTGCGCTAGGGAAAACAAGTTTCGTGTATAAATGACGTAAATGTTTATCCCCAAACAGAAATTCGAGTTGGCGCAAAGGCATGGTGTTTATTAAAGAAATGATACTCAAATTTTCCAAAGCTAACTTTGGCGAGTTTTGTAAGACAAGTGTCACGTTTGCAGCTCTTAGAAGTGAAGAAACTATACGAATATTTTATACAATCTCAAGAACTAATATCTAGACTTGAAGACTTGAGAGAAAATGTCAGTTACACTCTTTAACGCGTTATTGATCAATGGTCTTCCAGACAGTTGCGAACCTTTTATTGCTTAAGAAATCTTTAATCCAGCGTCGACATTTACTGAGTTGTGAGCATGGTTACATAATTACGAAGGCAGTTGCACTCGAAGAGCACAAACGAAATGTGATGCATCAATTCTAATTCACACGGTAAAAAAAACAAAACATAAAAACATCACAGCACTGCAAAACTCGCTTAGTTTTTTTTTGCACAAATTCAATTTCAACAAGAAAAATGCAAGAATGGTATTGAATGATGGTCGTCAACTCAATATAAGAAAGGATACTGGCCTCTCGTCCTCAAAGTCACCTATCCTAATTCCATTTTTATCCCACTGCAAAATATCAAACAAACCAACAAAGGAGATATAAATTTGCAGCACGAGCGTCTTAGACATCTCAACACAACTGATGCAAAATTTGTAGCACGAGTGACGTGCAAGCAAACCAATACCAAAAAAAGGAAGAAGGAAACGACAAAAGGTCTTAAACTTGTCTATTTCATTATTCTGGCACCTTTTAAAGTAGCTAAATATGCAGTAACATTCGTAGATGAGGACAAGAAAAAAGCAGTTGTGAAATACAGGAGTAAAAAATCACATGTCCTCGAAAAAACTTAAAGAATATGTAGCTGAAACTGGATCACTCAGGTGCTTACGAACCAATAACGGCGCAGAGTTTATGTCAAATGATTTCAAAAAAATTCTGAAAATGTTCTAAAAAGAAATCAAGAATTCACAATGTATGACAAAGTTGGCGAATGTCTGCAGGAGATTTCAAACATAATGGAACAGCCATAAATCAAAGGAAAAGGCAACGTAGAGCCACTTCCATAAGAATAGAAATAGAAGACCAGCTTGAAGATGCGGGAGTCTTTATATCTTCTTCAAGAAATCAGAACGAAATCAAGAAATCGTTGCAAAACCGAAAACTTACAAAAAATTCATAAAATCAAAAAATCTTAAGTATTGGAGAGAAGCAATGCAAGCAGAAGTTGAATCTCTAAAGAAGAACTTTACTTCGATACTTATTGACAAACCCAATAACAATAATACAGTACCTGGAAAATGGTTTCATAGAGTCAAATATAGTTCAAATGGCAAAGTAGACAAATACAAAGCGTGGTATTTGGCAAAAGGTTTTGCACAGTTGGAAGGCTTAGACTACTTTGAAACGTACGAACCATCATGTAAACCAGAAACATTCAGAACACTTTTAGCAGTTGCAAAGCATATAGAAACACATAAAGAAACGCATCTGTTTCAAATAGATGGCAAGTCAATCTATCTCCGCTATCCAATAGAAGAAGAAATTTATTTTGAACAATGCCAAGTTTTCATTAAATGATTAGAAGACATACAAACGTGTGTAATGTTAATGATTTAAAATTTAGACTTTGTTTCTGTCTTATATGTTGAAATTCAACCTACAATAGAAAAATTCTCCATTGTTTGAAAATTCTCAATGAAACGAAATGATTAAAACATGTGAAGATAACAGACTTTCTTTAAACTTGACAGCGGGTATAAACGAAAATGGAAACACGTTATGACGTATCACTTGTTTCCAGAAATTGGCTGGAATACCGCAGGTAGTTATTCCCAAATATTAAAATTTTTCAATCATAAAAGAGTACAGCTGATAGCTAGCTTGCATGAATGTTAACTTTACTGATATCAGAGGAAAATTGTATAGAACTGTATGTTCCTTTTTGCAAACGACAATCAAATGATACATACAGTCACAAACAGTCCAAATGAAATGCTGTAAAAAAATATTAAGGACTTTGAAAAGTGTGATGAAGGTTCAGAGCGACGAGAAATTTTCGGATTGTACAATAGTCAACACCTTTATTTTCATTGAAAGTACAAACGCGCAGTTATGTTATGTCAGAATAACGTGATAAACGAACATACAAAAACCATTTATGTAGCAAAATGGGTATAGATTGTAGAATTCACAATAATGTAATGAAACCTTTTAGCTTGAAATAATTGAGCGAAAAATAACAAATATTACTCTAATGCATAACTGGCATTTTTGCAGAGATATGCTGTAGAGTATAAGTATCGACCTTCGAATTTCAAGTACAGTCTAGAAGATAATGGAAATATAAAGTACACTAATAAAATATCAAGGAAAAATGAAAAATATGTCTGTCAACGTCAACTGATGTAATATATCCTGTTTGAAGAGAAATGGCAACCATTTTTTTCATTACCAACAAATATTTAAAAATTTGATATAGCATGAATGTTATATGACATCGTAATTCTTTATAGAACTTTTCTTAAATCACTCTAAAAATAAATAAAATTGAACAAATGAAATCATCTTTAATTTAATAGAAAGCTATTATGGATACATGCGTGACCTCACAACACAGCATTAACTAAGAAAATGGTTTGAGTCCAAGAGTATCGTTACATGTTTTTAAATGTAGATAGTTTAGGTTTGTATAGTCCTGAGGAGGACCGTTTTTGCTGTTATTGACTGACGTTTTGACAACCTTAGCGGAAGTCATCTTCAGAGTCACATGAGGAGTAAACGTCAGGTTAGCCGTATTTGTTTTCTGGTTCTTACGTTATTGCATCGTGTGTACATTGAATGGGTAAGTGTCACTTGGGTATTGTCATTGTGAATTTGTGCGAAGTGCAACATTTTTAGTTGTAATGCGTGATTTAGTTGTGATGTTCTTAGTTGTAACGTGTTTTTGTCAATTGTGTATTGTCATTGCGAATTAGTGTGAAGTGTAATGTTTTTAGTTGATCGTTTGTTTGTATTGTGAATAAGTTTTTTGTAAGGTGCTGGTAATTGATGTGATCTGTTGAGGGGGGTTTGTTCTAAACTGGTATACCAACTTTCTAATGTAAGCCGTTGTTTACATTCAGTACTGTAATTAATGCATTTTCCGAGTCCCAGTCAATGTTGTGCTTTGTGATTCGGTGATGTTCGGCAATCTCCTGTACACATATTACAATGATGCAAGAACCAGATATTAAATACGGCTAACCTTAAGTTTACTCCTCATTTGACTCTGAAGATGACTACCGCTAAGGTTGTCGAAACGTCAGTCAACAACAACAAAAACAGTCCTTCTCAGCACCAAACCAACTTGGAGGATCTACATTTACAAACATGTAACGGCATTAATTGTTTTTAAGAAAGGTGAAAAAGTAAATTTTCTATATGGATTTTTTTAGTGCTGCTATTGCCGCCATAAACCGTGTAATAAATGGCTATATGTTTACATATTTACACGTGAATTGTGTAATTTTACGCGACCTTTTTTTTCTTGAATGAAGAAGAATCTTGATACAAGTTTATTACATGTATTATATAAACAAATTTTTAACAAGGAGTGACCTTAATACTAATCTTATTTTTAAACAATTTATTAAACAGATGTTTTTGAAAACAATCTGTAGATTTAAAAATTATATAACATTCCGTGCATTGAATAGAAAAACTTGCTTCTTTCTTGCAGTTCAAATAACATTTAATTATGTATCGTCATTTTTACATATATGAGAGTCCGCGTACTCATCAATTTTTAAATAAAGCATGTATTTAAAGCAAAATAAATCTAGTTTTAACTTAGAAAAAAGTTTAAGATTTAAAATTAAGTCATAGAGGGAATCATTTAATAATAAAATAGTAAATGTTTTACCAATGTGAAAGGATTCATGATTAGTCATTGTTCAATCATAAATTATTGTATCTAAATTTTCTTTAGAAAAAATTACCCAATGAAAATTATCCCTTTTTAAATAATTTTCATAAAATATATTTAGTTGGTTATAGGAAACACTTCCTTCCCGTAATTTAGCTTCATTATAGAATGTTTTAACTTCGTCTGCAGTAACTAATTCATCAACTGATTTATTTATATTATATAAATTTAGACAGTTTATCACCATTATTAATAAACATTTTTCCAATTAATACAGCCACCGTGAAACAACAATTCTTAATTTGACTTTGTAACTTGTCACATTTAATTTGTAAAATACTATTTCTGATCTCTCTTCGATGCTTCAATACTGGATGGTTTCTTTTGCCACCACCCCCGACTATCATCATCAAGATTTAAGTTATAAATAAGCTTTTTGTTTTGATTTTTCATATTGGTATTTTTCCTAAATGAGATTTTCTCATTTTTATATTGATTTGGAACAATCATAATACAAACATTAGTTTCACAATCATTATTTAAAAATTCTGAAATGTTACTTTCTAAATTATGTTCAAAAGAATATAATAATCTCTGTATAGTGATGTCCTTTAAAGGTAATAAAGTTGTCAAAAAAGGTGTTAACGGAGCTTTTTCGAAAAAATCGAACTAAATGGATCTCAGAATTTACAAATAATTCTGTTATATTAAGGAAATATTGTAATATTTTTGAAAATTGTCTCAAAAATCTGGTAAATTGTTAAAATTGTTTTTCTTTATAAAAATTTGGGATGTGTCATCCTTAACTTCACCTCTTTTCGTAAAATGTCTTTTTTATATTGTAAATAAATTAATGATTTATTTTTTTTTGCTATATTCAATTTCTTCATCAATTTTTGAATGAAATATAGTAGCTACTTTCATTATTTCATTATTTGAAACAACTTTCATTTTTTTTCTTCTTTCTTCTTCAATTTCTTCAACTTTTCTTTTTGATGTGATTTTTTCTTTTTTTATCGTTGTTTATTTTCGGAGCCTTTCATACAGAAGCAATTTATATTTAATTTTCTAAGCGGTGTATCGTTGGATGGTTTACACATAAAATTAGCCATTGCTGAATTTAATTAATTGAGAAGTTCATTTATTTTTAAATAAAAATGAAAAGAAAATAATAATGAAAGAGCCACTACTATTTGTACCTACGAAATAAGAGGAAATGACAAATAAATTTTGTTCTTACCGTTCTTATTTCAACAATCAATTCAAGGTTGGAAATCAGATGACAATGATGACAATTCTGTAAATATTATGATGTTATTACAAAAAAAAAATTTGTTTGTGTTTAAGAAAGATTTATATAATCTCGAATCAAGTCATTCTGATATATATTTTAATATTGAGAAATTATTGGAATATATTGAAAAAAATATTGAATTTAAGCTGAAATAAGATTGAATTACTAAAATGAAACAAAGTGTACAAAAGTACTACAATGTGCTAAAATTACCTTAAAAAATGTAAAATGTCGAAAAAACTTCAAAGACCAATTTATGTTGGATTCACTTGGGTAAAAATTTAATTTAAGAATAAAAACCTCAAATATTCCTAACAGTGGAAAAGCATAATTTTCATATAAAAATCCAGTTTCAAAAAACACAAAAATTTCTAACTACACTGGAAGACATCTTACCTCGAGACAAGTAGTTAGAGGTTATTATGATAGTTTAGTAGAAAATGCGATAAAGGAAAGTGTATTGACGCTAGTGAAACAACTGATGATGCACCAAGATATGCAAATGATGCTGGACGCTCACGCTTTAAAAACAACTCCTTTTTACTTGGGAAAAAAATTTTTATTTTTTAAAACCATCAAAAAACATTAAACCACACCAAGAAATATTTACTAATTATGGTAAAGAATGTTGGAGTCTTGTAATGAAAATTTGTTTAGGGTGAGTGGATTCAAATGGTTTGCAATGAATTTGTCTACGTTGTAGTGTGGTGTGTTTGTGGTGTCAATTATTGGTCGTAACTTAGGTAATGTGTCAAATTGTTTGTGCGTTTTAAGTAGTCCATGTGCTCTGGCAAAGTGCGCGCGAGTAGGTCGTAAGAAAGTATGCTCGGTTTCATTGATCTCACCCAGTTTTAGAAGTGTGCATAGATAGGATTGTAGAGTTGAAAGTCTACTTGAAGTAAGATCGCTTGAAATACGCTTAAATTTACAGGGATTTTTGAACAGAGAATTAAGAAGTTGACCTAACCAGAGCGGTTTAACAAGACAACTCTATTGCCTTTGTCAGGCTTCAGAATGGCTCAATCACTATTGAGTTTCTTGAATTTACGAATACGTTTACTATCGATATGGAATTGTTCTAAATCTAAATCTAAGTAATTATACGTAAAGGAGCTACTCTTTCGATGCTAATGATGCAATAAAATCTATACCTAAAGATCTATTTTCCCAAGGTTATAAGTTTGTCTCTTTTGATGTTGAATTCGTTTTCCCTAAAGTGCCTTTGCGTAAAACCATCAACATTGTACTACATCGCATTTACAAACAAATTATTATTAATATCACACTCCCAAAATTAACACTGAAAAAACTTCTTATTGATTAATGCACCAAAACTATATTTTCTTGCAACGGTATTTTTTATGAACAACTTGACGGCGTTTCCATGTGGTCGTCTTTCGGTCCCCTCTTAGCTAATATAATTCCCACTGAGTTTGAAAACATCATTGTCACTGATTTGATCAACTCAGGTGTCCTTAAGTTTTATTGACGTTATGTTGATGATACTCTTCTTCCTATGCAACATTCTGACATTCCTCATGTTCTTGCCAAATTTAATAGTTTTGATAAAAATATTAAATTTATATTTACTTTTGATGAGTTATCTGACTCACATGTCCACTTTCTAGACCTCAAAATAACCAATAATCACATTGATATATTTCGTAAAACAACTTATACTGGCCAATATTCACATTTTTCAAGTTTCGAACTTTTCAACTGCAAAACTACTTGGATCAATTCCCTTTTTTTTTCGCGCATTGAAGATTTGTTCTAAACAAACATTATTCAAAAAACAAATTCAAACACTCCAGTCTTTTATGTCATGGAATGGTTTCCCTCTTACTGTCCGGAAATTCTTGATTCATACATTCAAAACAAAAATCATAGCCAAAAATAACCCCCTCAAACAAAATACTGAGAATGACCTTGCTAAAATTTTCATTAGAATACCATATCTAGGCAAACAGGGTGAACGTTTGGTTTTCAAACTTCTTCGTAAAATTCGCCGTAGCTTAAAAATTACCATCAAACCTATAGTTATATATGAAACAAAAAGACAATTTTCTATCCCCAAAAGGACAAAATTCCGGAACTCTTAAAGCCAATGTTGTATATGAATTTAAAATCCAGGCTGTAGTCATACATACATAGGCAAAACTGAGGGAAACCAACACATTCCGATTCCTTCAAGGATTCCTATTACAATGTGAAATCTCATAGAAAATGAAAATTCTTACAAGAAGTGCTTTAGAAAATTTCACAGGAAATTGTAAACTTATAAAAAAGTATAATTTAAAATTGTCAAGGTTGTGGTCATACATACATAGGCAAAACTTAACGAAACCTACGCACAAGACTAACCCAACTTGCCACTAATTACAGTAATTCTAGTGCTATCTCACAACATTTGCTCATTTGTCCAGACGCCAACTACATCTCACAGCTTTTCTCATTTCCTGACGTTGACTCCGACCCCGATCTCACACGCGTGCCACTTAATCCTTGTAATTTGATTCCAAGTAACACCAAAATCTTATATCGCTGTAAAAATAATAATCCTAATCA